ATGTTTTAAAAGCTTTAAATGCTCAATATTCTTGTGTACATTCGTGATAGGTCTCAACATTTGGAACTACTACAATTTTATTTCAGATTGCCTGTATAATTGGTTTGATATTGACTTGTTGATAAAACTGTCTCTCAGTTTTACTCTCTCTTTTTCACTCTTTCTCTCTCTCTTTCACGCGTTTTCTCTCTGTCTCTCTCTCTTTCGTTTTCTCTCTCTTTTTTATATTTGTTTTACGATGTTAGATATTGTCCTAATAACTGAGGCGAAGGATACATATAGCTATTATACCCTGACTCAAAATACTTTTTGATTTCTTTACGCATTTGCAAGATATTGAATAAATAAAAGATACGGATTATATGCGTTTGAGTTTGTTTTAGTTGGTTACTGAATTATCTAAATTTTTAAAATATCGTAAAAAGTTTTTTTTTTTTTTTGTATAATAAAAGAAAAGAAGAAAACTTTTAAGTACATGCTTAGTCTACTAGTTGGTGGTATTTGTAAGTCAGAAAAATTCTATGAAATTTTTGTAAAATAGAAATTTTAAGCAAATTTGTTGATTTGACCAAAACAATTAGAACTTTCTTAGGGTTTCCAGTAAAAGTTTTGACTGCTTAGTCTTTATGTATTTTCACCAAATAAATGTACTACCCAAAGTTATTCTCCAATAATTTACAAAAGTGCATTGTCCAATTGCTGTGTTTTTTTACGTAATTTAAACTGACTTCTTTCACTTTTATCAGAATGTATTATGCTAGGGGTTTCCTTCAAGACTTTGAATGATGTATTGCACATAATTGAATTATTAAAAATTGGAATAATATTATATTATACTCATATTTGGCATTATATCAAGTATTAATATTTTGCGTTGAATATAATATTTGTGTTTGCACATATTATAGTATTTCAAAATATCCGAATATATTATAGTAAATGATTTTTTTCTATATAGATATATTTATGTGCTACATTTCTATCTAGCAAAATACCCGTCCTTAACTGCAACGGTCTATTTCAATTCTAATTTTTTCATGTTTTTTTGATTTGTTTGTTGCATGCACATCCGCTAAGCTAAATTACATTAATTTAACAAAAATCAGTGATGTTTTTGTTGCAATTATTGTTCCCTCATTATAATTATTGCTGCTGCATTATGATTATTGCAGACATCATTGTAGATACTTTTGGTGTTAGTACAAGTTAAAGTGTAATCAATGTATGTCTGTTTTTTTTATACAATATATATACAATATATATATATATTTAATTTTTTGATCATTTTCAGTATTGTATTTATTTTTTTGTTTTAAATTTATTTTATTTATTTTTTTTACAATATTAACTTTTCAATTTATTTTATATTTTTCTGAATTTGTTTTCTTTGCATTTTTATTACTCAATTAACCTGTATAGTGGCAATTTTTTGCTAATAAATATTGTTTATTGGCAACAATTGCAATGTATTTGTTGTTGCCGTTGTCTTTTGTAATTGCTGCTGTTATTGCTGTTACTGCATGCACACCGCTTTTGCTGTTTCTGTTGCTGCTGCTGTTTGTTTATTGCACCTTCAATGTTGCCATTTTGTTGCTGCTGCCCTACACAAAAGACAAGTGACGATGGCGATGGCGATGGCGAAATTTGCTTAAATGCTGTAGACATTTTGTTGCGATGTCTTGCGTTTTGCGTTATTACAAATGTTGACGTTTACCTGGGATGTATCTGTGCCTTTGCCTTTGCCTCTGCTTTCTGCCTATGCAACTATTAAATATTAGCCACTTTAATGGTTTTACCAACTTGTCGCAAAAAAAATTATATCTCAAATATTTGCATAATTAACAATAAAAAACAATTACTTCGATGGTTTTTGTTTTGTTTACTTAGCTAAATACGTTTTGATTTTTATCTTTTAATATTATTTTTGTGTATTTTCATTTACTTTTGCATACTTTTGTGGTTTGTTGTGGTTCGCATGTTTAATTTTAGAAAATTTTCGCTTATTTATAATAATAATTTTTATTTGAACTAGTCTTGTATCAGAAATTGTTAATATTTTTCCTTCAAATCGTTTATTTGTTTAATAATATAAGTATTTTGCAAATTAGACACGTAGATATACATTATATTAAGGATTTAAAATATTGATTTAAACATTATTATCAATAATTTCTTAATTTGTGTATATATTTACATTTATTATATTGAATTAAATTTTCAATATAATTTATAATTATTTTTCACATAAAAAGTGTATTTTCTTTCAATGATGTAAATTCAGCGAGTTTTTTTTCTTTATTAGCTGAGATTGCATATAGGTTACAGGTTTTCTATATCTACAGTTTGTTACAAACTTTTTTGTACTGAGGTATACTCAGTATATATAGCAGGGTTCTTATTAAAAACTATTATTATTATGATTATTATATTATAAATTACAATCACAATTCAAGAAGTCTATTCACATATGCTTTATAGACACCCATATTACACGCTAATGCTCTAAGCTCGCTGAATGATTTGCCAGTTTTTCTATTTATCAATCTTCTCCTTCTATCACAATTTTGACCTTCTATCACGATTCCTTCTACCTTGTGGATTCCATTCTAATGCTGAGTGTGCAATTTGACTAACCGGTTTACGCAGCTATATTTCCGCTTCATTATCTGCTTTTCAATCGGCTGCTGATTTGTAATTTCCCATAGTCGCTTATTACATATGGTTCTCGGCCACCAAATGTTCAGGATCTCGCGAAGGTATCTGTTAGCGTATGTCTGCAGTTTTTGTGAGATCGCGGTTGTATCAAACTACAATTCAGATCCATGTAACAACACACTTTTGACGCAGACAACGAATATCGTAATTTGAGTTTTTAAATGCAAGATTATTGAACGCCAAATGTACTTAAAACATTAAAGTTAATTAATAATTAATAATAATAATTAATTAATAAACTAACCCTTAAATATTCTCTAAATATACAATGTTCAACGAATAGGTTATATTTTCGTCGTTTAAGGTGTTAAATTTTAAAGTAATTAATTAATTATTATATGTTTTACTAAACGAGACTCTTGCTGCTACATTTACTGAAGTGTCTCGATTTTGGTACCTCTATTCAAAGTACTAATCTCGGCATTACCGCAAATCAATTGTTGTGAATTGGCTCTTAACTTGAGGTTGTTGCTTATAGTTATAGTGTTTAGAAAATTCCTGTTAGGAAATCTGTTATTATTGATGCCGATCTACGATTTTTTTAATAGTTTTGACATTTAAAAAATGTCAAAAAAATATTAAATTATTATTTTATTTTAGCAAATAACTTTTTTATGTTCACGCTTTCGCCTTCTCTTTCGCCCACATTAGAGGTATTCACGATTTCGAGTAATTTTCAGTGGTAAACTGAAAAGTGCCAACAACAAAATACATCTACTCTAAATGTATTTTCTTATTCGCGCTTTATACTGTTATCATGTTATTCAGTTATCGACGTCATTATTCGAGATTGGGAATATCCCTATCCTTCTTTTTCTCACATGTTAATGTTAAAAGCATTGTTAGATCAATGCTATAAGTATTAGTAACAAATAAATCATTTTCAAAAAAGTGTTGTAGTACTTAATGTAACAGATGTAAATATGTATTAAAATCTACTTTCTATAAATCCATTTTCAATTTCATCTGTTTATTGGGGAAGCTTATTGATTGTCGAAACTTAATATATTTTGATATAAAGTGGATATTAAGGCTCTGCTAATACAATATTGCTTTAGAATTTTATTTTCTTTTTATGCATAATTTTAATATTGATTTCAATTGTTCCTAAACTGTAGTTGTTTGCGGTGTAGTCATGTTTTCTGCTGATCCTTATAGTTCTTGGTAATAGTTATGTTTCTTATTATTGTTAAGAAACTTAAAGTTAGGAGTTATATTCCAAAAGTAAAGTTTTTTTATATTTTTCTTGTAAAAAGTATCTGAAATGATCAGGAATTAAAACAAAAAATATTCATAAATCAATCAAAATTTATATTGATATAAATGCAACACAGTTATTCCAGCGCTTGCCTCTTCCACTATATGTTTATATGGCTTTCAACTCCAACGAATTTCTTTTTATGACTGCAATGTCTTCCTCGAAGTGGTTATTTTAGATTCGGAAACAGAAAAAAGTCACACAGGTGTCATATGAAGTGAGTACGGTGCTTAATCGATCATATTCTCTGAATTTTTTGCAAAAGAAGTCTCCCTTAAATATTCAACATATCATCTGAATTTGATATGGTGCTTTGATGAAGAGTTTTGGTTCAATTTACAAGTACGAGTACTACATTTTTGTATTCTGATATTTTATTACGTATAAGTTTAGCATTTTCTTTCTCCATAATTGTGCAGCTGAATCGAAAGCATTTTGATGGTAAAGCAATGCGGCGTGCCTATTTAATTATTTAAAGGCTTCAAAGTTTTCATATTATTTTCAGATTTTATTGTTTATAATCTATGCCGTTTGGTTTTTCTGTTG